CACTTGGTAGCCCAGGCTGGCCTCGAACTCACAGAGATCCACCTGGCTCTGCCTCCCGAGTGCTGGGATTAAAGGCGTGCGCCACCACCGCCCGGCTTCTTGTCAGGATTCTTAACCCAGGGTCCATAGAGCACCTTCCATTCTGCTTTTAAAAGCTCTAACTGGGCATCATATTTTTGAAACATATTATTCCATTCAAGACACAAATCCAGTTTATCATGGGTACAGATCTCTGGAAAAGAACGATTCAGGTATATTCCAATGTATTAAGGAGCCGTGTCCCTAAGGCTAGTGAAAGTTCCACCATAGGACTTGAGATCAGAAAAACAATAAATTCTCTTAATTTTTCGAGGAAGTAACTCTTTCCTGTAGTTTAGTTATAAGGTATCTTATTGTATTATTTAAATAAATTGAATGGAGTTTAAGGTAGGAAGAACATTAAAGTTCTGAGAATTAAAAAAAATAAGGATGCATAAGATGAGGACTATGCAAAATAGACCTACAGAATGATCATTTCATTATATATATCTATATTATGTCATTATATTTTACAATGCACTTATATTCATTATGTATTGCAATTTAAAAATAAAACAAATATGAATAAATTAAACCAAACTAGATCTGTGGTGGTAAAAAAAATGGATATTTTCCTTACAAAACATAAGCTGAAAGAAAATTTTGTGTTGAGGTCATACCAATTCTTTTGTGGTAAAGCTGTATATTTGGAGAGGGGAAGAATGTGATCAAACATATTTGAATTGAAACTTGTTTTAAATAATGAAAAATATAATAATGAATGCAAACAAGAGTTCTATGATGTGTGCAGAGACTTCAATGAAGCTTGTTGTTGTTATTTTTCTGTCTAACATGGATGTAGTCCAGTAGAACTGATGATTGTAAGTTTAGTCCCTGAACTGCTATTCCCCAACACCTTCATAAACACTCTTAGAAAAAATGCTAACAACTCTCTGAAGTGTTTGCTTGGATTATAGGCCTCTAGAGATATGAAATCTCATGACACTATTCCCCTTGATATTTGCAAAGCCTGTAACCTGTAACTTGAAGTTTTTAAGCACAAGCCCAGAATTACTTCCAAAGCAAAGTTTCAGATGTGGAAGAAGAATACACAAGGAGATGATTTCCTGGATGTGGACATTGGGTCAATGCTGTAGATGTGAAAGTTTTACATATCCATATCCCATCTTTGCAGCCCTTCTTCCT